GGGGGGCTTATATTCGGGGGGGGGGGTATAGTCGGAGGTTTACCGTACTAAGGTAATCAGCAATGTGAGTTGTATGTGCAAATATCAGGGCTGGGGCATCTCACTCGATATAAATGTAGTACACTTAGTTATATCGACTGTGGATGCCTCAAATCTTGATATTTATCCAATATTGGACAATGTTTGAAAATATTACCAACATAAGGACATATTTACCTGGCCCCAAAGTCCAGTCTCCCAAATACCACAAGTGCTTCTCCTGCACGTCTTCTCTGAGCGAGGTCTTCTCCTCAAATGTCGACATCTTGATAAAGCCACTTGTTTATTATAAATATCTTCACACCAAACACTCCGTCGTTTCACGCCCACACCACATTGCACGGAACACTGGCAGGAAAGAATATGTATCACACAGTCAACCAAAGATTAGCTTTGTTTATACTGGATAGCTCTGTTCTTCTATGATATGCATGATCAATATAGTCTTACTACAGGAGGAAACCTAAACTAAACTAATTTTATTTATACTGGATAGCTCTATCAGTTCTAAACTGTTCTCCCTAGAGGTACAGTAAGGATCATCTCTTATTGATCCAGTGTTACTACAGGAGGAAACCTACACTAAACTAACTTTATTTATACTGGATAGCTCTATCAGTTCTAAACTGTTCTCCCTAGAAGTCCAGTAAGGGTCATCTCTTATTGATCCAGTGTTACTACAGGAGGAAACCTATACTAAACTAACTTTATTTATACTGGATAGCTCTATCAGTCCTAAACTGTTCTCCCTAGAGGTCCAGTACTTGCAAAACCTGGTCCAATAATTGTATTATTACCGGATTCCATTTTCCTTTAGCCCAGCGTACAGTAGGAGGACAACTCTTCGCGTAACAAGACTTCATTTCTGAAGGTCTTAATTTCCTGTTGCAGTTGCTATCAGACAGAACACGAGTGCTATTGGAACAATAGGCTCTTCGAGATACTGTCCCAAGACCACATGTTTTGGAGCACTGAAAATAAATAAAGAATATAATTTTAAAGTGACATGTACACACGCAAAAATCTCACAACTTGTCAACAAGATGTGTTCGCAAAAGGCTCGTACTGTAGCAAGCTTGTCAACAAGTTGTAACAATGCTGCTGTTTTATCAAGTTGCTACAAGGTTGTCACTCACAACTTGTTGACAAATTGTTGAATTGCAGGATGATAACAAGATGTTGGAACAACTTGTAAAAAGTCTGTTGAGCTCAACAACCTTGTAGCAAGTTGTCAACAAGTTGTAACAATGCTGTTATTTTAACAAGTTGCTACAAAGTTAATTGTCACTCACAACTTGTTAACAAATTGTTGAATTGCAGAACTATAACAAGTTGTTGGAACAATTTGTAAAAGTCTGTTGAGCTCAACAATCTTGTAGCAAGTTGTCAACAAGCTGGGAACAAGCAGTGCGAACACATCCTGTTGACAAGTTGTTGGAACAACA